ACTGACTTCTGTTAGTTTCTGCGCACAATAAAAAGCAATTGTTCTGATGTTTCAAACTGCCTTGAGTTTGAGTCTTCACATTCAGAGCTGCTTCTCTTCATAAATCATGGCAACAGGCATTTCCATGAGCCCTTCTTGCTGTAGATATCAAAATCTGAGCAATAGAAGCATGGTGTTGTCAATGGAGGACCCTGAGCTCTGCAGCTCGGTTCTGTGTGTAGATGGTGTTATCCCAATTTTGGACCTCCCCTGCTTAGTGGGTGGTACGTTTCACTCGTGTATTTACTAGGGGCCGAGGGTGATAATGGAGAAGACTCCAGGGTTAACCTGGAGAGGGAACCCAATTCATATAATGTTTTTGATCAGAAAGTCTTGGAGAACACATTATAAAAACGAATTTATTAACATATCTCAAGCTGTACAGAACCAGTAAGACAGACAGCTGCCTTCCTCCCAATACCAAATATCCCTAAGAAGCTATTCTGAAGAAGACCTCCCATGTGTTGATGCTTAGATTGTGAAGACCTTAAGTTACTAAGCTATCAGTTTGCTGTGTATAAGGTCTTTGATTCCCTTAAAGACAAAGTGTTTTTGCTCTGTATAGCCATTTGAGAGCCTACTTTTCAGAGCAAACCTAAACATCAGTGTAATTAGCTAAAATTTCCTCCTCCCCATCCCTATGCTTGAGTGTATTTACATTGCATACTGTTGTCCAGTCCAGTGATAGCTGCATTTCAGTGGTACTATGTACTGTGAAATGTTTTGGAAAATACATAGATAGGGTTTTACAGTCTCAGCATCACTGCAGGGAGGTCTTACAGAGAGAGAGAGATGAGTCAGTCTAGTATGTATATGTGTACATATGTGTGTGTGTATATACACATACATACATACATACATACATACATACATACATACACACACTGTATATACACTATACACACACACATATACTATGTATGTGTGTGTGTATGAATATTTTCATCAATGGTGATTATCTATTAATATCAGCAATATTATACTGTAGTTAGCTGTCAAAAGATTTTCAAATAGGGCTTTCTCCAGTAGGTTGTGGTGGCCTAGCACTACTCTGAAGTGTTGTAGCCATATGACATTTTCCATTCCCTGCCAGCTGATGAACAAGGAATTATCAGGAAGAGTGGAGAGAGGGCATAATATGAACCTACATGTCTGCAAACAAGCCGTATTTACATATATTACAAGTATATTGTCAAGTCAAAGGCCAGTAAATATCTGTTGCTGTCTTAAGTGCTGTATCCATCCTGAATATGCAGTGTGTACACAACTACTGTCTTTTGAATATTGACTTGGGCTATTGCCTGACTGTCAGAAACATTAGCTTGAATTGACTGACTCAGAAAACCCCTGCTCTCCAGTCTATGTGGGAATAAGGTTAAATTTGGTTTCATTTTGTCATTGTTTAGACTATGCCCAAGCTCATCAGTAAAAAAAAATGTGATCACTGAATGTTGTAACAGAAGGCAGCCTCTCGAGTTGTAACACGAAACAGAAATAAACCCTTCCCCAACAGTCAGTTTGTTCAAAGGAGGAAATGGATTGCTGGGCAGTTGATAAATTGTACCCTGCCAAATTCACCACTTTTTTTTCTAAGTTGCTTTTTTTAAATGGCTAGGAGACTTTTTCAAAAACCTAACTGGGGTTTTTAAGCATTAGGGGTGCACAAATAAAATTTTTCTTGCCTGATACTGTTGGCCGATTATAAACCAGCCTTATCGGCCAGTACCGATCCAATAGCTGATTTACAGAATGCAGCCTGGCAGCTTGGCCGGTAGCTGGCAGTGTCTGGCCAGCAAGTCTGTGGGTGGGAAAGGGTGTGGGTGATGGAAGGGGCATGTGGGGGAGAACAAGGCCTCCATGGTGAGGGAGGGAGTGGGGCAGGGGCAGGTCCTTTGCAGCCAGAGTGATGAATGTGATCCCAGGTCTGGGATGGAGTCATGGGCAGCTCATCCAGGAGGTGTGGAGGGTAGTGGGGGGGGTGTCTCCCCCCCATTGCATATATCCCTGGGGAAAGCATGGGGGGCATGTGCCTCCCTGGATGTGTGCATGGTGCATTAGGCTGCTTGCTGTGGGCATTGGGGGCATGTGGGCATGTGCCCCACCCCAGATTTGTGCACAGGGTGAGGGCAGGCTGCAGCCACCCCTCCCAGTGCTGCCACTGCCGCCCACTCTTGCCTGCTTGGAGTGTAGCCCCGGCCCAGCCCCCCCTGCCAGGAAGAGGCTGGCACAGTCCCTGGCCCCAAGCCCATAGCGGGCAGCCTGCCCTCACCCTGCACACAAATTCAGGGGGGGCACAAGCCCCCCATGCTTCCCCTGGGGCACGCACAGCAGTGGGGATCCGCCCCCCTCTCTTCCCCACATCCCCAGATAAGCGACCTACGGCTCTGTCCTGGCCCCGGGGTCACATTCACCACCCTGGCTGGGCAGTGCCTGCCCCTGCCCCATTCCCTCCTCTGTGGGGGCCTCGATTTGCCTCTCTGTGCCCCTCCCCTCCCCTACATCCCTTCCCCCCTGTCTCTAGTGGGTTATGGAATAGAGAAAATCCTACACAACTTACTGATTCGTTTGATGCACTGGCTGGGGAAATTTTTAGCTACTTGCACGATTTCACAATGATTACACACTTAATTCATACAACACAATTTTATTTTAAAATTCTTTGCTACACATATAACACTGCTTAGCTTTAAGAAATACCACAAACATTAAGAACACAATAACTACATATATCAGAAACAATGCTCCAAATGCACTTCCTTCCCAAACAGTGCTATAAAAATTAATATTACAAAAACAATTACACTTACAACTCAAAGTTAAATTTGAATCATACTATTATTTTCATAATATACTTACAATCCTAGAATTCCGAGAAGCCAAACACCTAGATACGGTTTTATTCCTCAGTAGTACAATTTAATGGGTTGGCCTCAGTAGTACGGTTCAATGGGCTCGCCTCAATACTGATAGGACTAAGTCCCCTTCCTTCAGTCCCTTTCGGGTGCTCCGCAACTTCAGCATGAACTAAGAGATTCGTGTTCACGGAGAGGGTGGTTCAGGTGAACAGTCTGATCCGGCCTACGCTTGCAATTCTTTCTTTGTTGTTCTGCAAGTGAGGTTACCTCCAAATTGGGACAGTAGGTTACAGTTTTTATTGAGTGAGTTGCCGTCTTGAGCCCCTCCTATCCAAACCTGTCACTACTCCCAAATTTGGGCTCGGATCTTACTCAACAGATTTCTGCTGGGTTCAGTTTCTTTTGTTGATCATTTTAATTACTTTGGGGAATTTCCATATCACTGAATTGACTTTTATTTCCAATCTTGTCAAAGGCCCTAGGGTTTGATCTCTTGAAATGTGGGATGTTTGCTTAAGGGTCACTTTTATGTGAACTTTGTTAAAGGCCTCAAGATAAAATTCAAGAGTTAAGACTTTGAGCAAAGTCAGGACCTTCTGCACGTAGACCAAAACAATGGCCTAGATAAGAAGATGAATCTTGTCTTCTTCCTAAACTGGCTAATGGGCAACTATTACAAACATTCAAACTATTACATTCAATATGACACCCCCCTCCAGACTTACCAGAAGGATGCTGCTGTCCTAGCTGCCAGGCTGCATTCCTGGCTGCATGCATGCTGCAGCTGCATACATACACACAGCATTTATTGGTGACATTATCGGCTACAGCGTCCAAACAAAGCCGATTGCCGATAATGGTAATTTTACTCTTATCAGTGCTGATCCGATTTATGACCGATATATTGGTGCACCTCTAATAAGCATAACACTAATAATTCAACACT